TTCTGTAAGATAGTTCTCACCATCAACAAGATTGGAATCTCTTTTGCGCACGTTTTTGCACGCTATACACGTTTTGATCGAAGCGCTGCCTCTCCAATTGTACGTTGCCCTGATGGCATCAAAGTCTGCAATGAAATTTGCTTTCATGATGTCAATGCGAAGAAGCCTTTGATTCCCATCCAGTTCCTAGGGAATGCCATGTTGCATATCAAAAGATCGCACCAACAAAACCACTTCTCGCATCATTCTGGAAAAACCACCGCTCACTGTCTCCAAGCTTTTGTGTTGCGCCACCAGCAATGGGATCCAGCTTTCCTCTTTGTGCCTCTGCTGCAACTCCACCATAGTAAAGTATCCAATGGCAATCTTCTTGGAAGAATGCGGTGCTAGCGGGTTTCCTGAAATCACTTCATCCCAATAAAACAAAGGTTTGAAGGACTCTCCGTTAGACCTGTCAATGATGTGGACAAGTCTCCTCGCGAAGGCACCATTCTGGGATGCCAAATGCTGCAAGAACTTTGGTATGTGAGTCACAGCTACATGGATCATCTGTCCATCTTTGTTTTCTCCCACTGGCAGTTTTACTGTGCAATCGTGTGGTAGTTCTTTGTGGACTTTGCGCTTGTAACCTGAGTAAGACTTGGGAATCACTTCTGGGCGAGCAATCTGCAAAATGCCATGCAACGCCTTCTCAGTGCAGCCTGGCACTTTCAAGCATTCGCGTAGCACAAGGTCATCTTCATGGCCATGGCTAGTTTTTCGAGACTTGGGCATGCAGGCTCCCCTTTACAAGGAAAACATGCGATCACATGAAGAAACATCTTGCGATGACTTCATGCAGGCCCAAACCTAAAAGGCATACATGCAGTTGCAATAAGATACATTTTTTGGTGAGGATTGAATTCCTTTTGAACAATTCGAAGTTTAGAACCCATGTCTGTGTGCCATGCCTTACTCTGAGCACATACCGGCTACCCCAACTGTGAACGTCAACAAGCTCCTGGTGAGCGCTGGGCTTGCAGAAGCTTTCGCACGATCGACATTTTCGTTCTGCGCGCAGGTTCAACGCTCATCCATGCAACTCAGACGTCGTCATATGACCTCATTATGACCTGGTTCGAACTATACAGAACCTGTCACTGCATGATTGCAAGGTAAAAAAGCCAGGCGGCGGCCTTCGAGGCCGCAACCACCAAGCGGCCACAAAGCCGCGGCCATTGAAGCCATTTCATGCGGCCCACAAAGCCGCGGCAACGCGAAGCTTGTTAAGTTGCGGCCCGCTAAGCCGCATCAAAAAGATGCCTTTATTTATTCTTCCTCTTCTTGGAAGAGGCTGACTTGGCATCCTGAACAAATTTCTTTGCTGCTTTGACCCTGACCATCATCTCTTGGCTGTCTTTGAACGGGAGAGCTTCCAATTTGGCCTCAGAATTCTTGGCATGCTTTTGCAAAGCTGCAGCCGCCGCCTTCTTCCAGTCAAGCAGGACATCGCGCTCTTGCACCAAATTCTCTTTCAAGAGGTCTGGCCAATTGTCATCTCCAGAAGCACAGGTCTGCTGCAGCTCCACGCACAGAGGCTGCAATTCCACCACAGCCTTGCCAGCCAAATTCACGATGGTTTTGTTCATCTTCAGCATCTCACGACGTTCTTTCTGGCTCTCTTTCTTGCGCTCCTGCTCTGCCTTGCGTGCAGCAGCCTTCTCCTCCTTCTTCCTTTGGGCTTCCAACTGTTTAGCTGTAAGTTCTTGTTCGGGTTCAGGGATCGGTTGCTCCGTGTCCGGCGAGTCTTCGTTGTCGCTCAACAGATCCACGATCATAGCGCCTGTAACATTGGCTGCCTCAGGCTGGTGGTCCACCTTACGCTTGCGGACACTTCGCTCTGCAGCAGCCACAGAGCTCTCAATCCTTTGTTTCACCTCTTTCTCTTGCAAAGACGTCACCGGGAGCATGTAGGTCTTTTCCTGCAAGATTGGATCCCACATCTGTGGCGCGTTCTCCTGGATCTGGTTCGCGTTGTATCCTTTCCTGGGCTGTGGCTTGATTGTTTTAATGTTGCAAAAGTCTCTTTATATACATCAAATTGTTTTATGTTTACTATATATACTATATAAATGAACTACTGCCATCCATGGAACACAAAAGAGAAGAAACGAATGCCAAAGGCAGCCAAGCTGCTGCGCATACACTGACAACGGCAGATAAGTGCCTTTGCTGCTCTTGGCAAGCTCACTGGTCTTGACCATGGTAAGGCTATTGACCAGCACATCACGCAATCGATCATACCGAAGTCGTCCATCGGTGCTTTCTTCCCTCATGGCACGGCACTGTTGCCAAAATTGAACCTGTTCTTCGGTGGTCAGAGCAGCAAACTCTAGAGGTGGCCATGTGAGGTTTCGACGGAGTGTCGAGTTGATGGCATTGCACGCTTTACACCACCAAGTCTTGCCTTTGGCTTGGGCATCGAACACAAACACCTCCATCTGGCACTTCTGGCAAACGACTTTGCTCAATTCCTCATCTTTGGGAGGGCTGTCCATGAGAACCAGAGAGTCGACCTTGGCAGTTTGACTCACTTCTTCTTCAACCTGCTCCTCTCCAACCTTCTCAGGAGTGTCCATGCCCAATTGGTTTTCTGGGCATTCTCTCATAAGACGCTGGCTCTCGTCACTCAAGATTGGCTGGACAGATGGATTGACTTGTGACTCGCCCGGCTGCTGAAGGGTTGGCGCAGGTTCTGCATCCATGATGAGTGTCAAAGAGAAGGGAACGATGCGCTTTCTTTTCGGACCAGAAAACTCAAAACAAAAAACGCATACACTGGTAGCGCTGTCACGATAGTCTTGACGGTGTCAATGATAATGCTGATGAGGCTCATGTTCATGATTCTCATGATGGTCACAATGACAATCGTGATTGTATGATGTAGTTTACAGTAACTCTGTTTAATGCGTCTCAGCCTTTTTCTCCAGAAGAGAGCCTCCATTGGGGACAGCTGGCGCTGTCCACCTGAATCAAAAAGCCCTCTTTTGGCGGCCCACAAGGCCGCGGCCCACTGAGCCGCTTGAAGGGTATTCAAATGCGGCAAGCCCAAGTGCCATGATTCTTTCAGCTCATGGCTGGCCTCTTTTTGACACCATGGCTCTGATTAGCAGCCGGTCTCTTTTTCGAGGACTTCTTGGGCGCCGGCTTGGGAGATTTCTTGGGCGCTGCCTTGGAGGATTTGGGCGCTGCCTTAGGCACAGCCTCCTCACTCATTGGCGAAAAACATTTTGAAACCTCATCACGCCACTCACCATTTGAGATGAAGTGTGTACCGTTCACCACAAAACGCATCTGGTTTCGTCGATCGATGGGAGGGACGGTGTCGTCCACAGCGTCCATGCAGCACATCAAGAAGTCTTGAACCTGTGCACTCCCGTGATATTTCACCCTGGTTACAAATTCTCCCTGGAAGGACTTGATGTCTACATAGTTCCCATCGCGGACCAAATGGTAAATCTTCTGAGCAACTCCCGAGGGTGGACGCGCAACCGCAATGGATAATGGAGTCGTCTTCCGCTCGAAGATGTCATAGTGCTCGCACACTTGCTCTTCAATCGCTTGGAATGGAACAAAGCTGCCCCGAATGCCCAGCTCCAAAAAGATCCTTGAAGACACAGGGAAAAACTATATGTTTGATGTTGTTATGAAATGTTATGAACAAACTTACATTCTGGTAGAAGATGCAACACCGGAGTAGTCTACCATTGAAAAACTAAAGGTTTTGTTACAATGACTGCCACAATGCATCCTAAGTGCGTGTTGCCTCCAAGACGATAACGATGACTCTGTTTCGCTGGTAATTCGCCTTGCCACTCAATCATGGCTGCCAGTTGGTCTTCGCGAAAATTCTCCCATGTCATGGTAGTCACGTAGCCGTAGTTGAGCATGACTAAGAAAACACGGTGACTACCAAGGTGGCTTGGCTGCGACGGCGATCGCGGAAACACACCTGTCAAAGAAAACTCGTATATAAACAATCAATATAGCAGCAAAACTGTCAAATATATTGGACGTATATTGACGTATATTGGACGTATATTGACGTATATTGGACGTATATTGATGTATATTGGACGTATATTGACGTATATTGGACGTATATTGACGTATATTGGACGTATATTGACGTATATTGGACGTATATTGACGTATATTGACGTATATTGGACGTATATTGGACGTATATTGGACGTATATTGACGTATATTGGACGTATATTGGACGTATATTGACGTATATTGGGCGTATATTGACGTATATTGGGCGTATATTGATGTATATTGGACGCATATATACGTATATTATACAGCATATGTACATCTATGAACGATCATTTATGCAGTGTTGCAACTAATGCAAAACCACCCGCGCTCTCTTAATTTTTGAAGTTACGTTTCACGGTCAGGCGCGGTGTTGCAACTAATGCAAGCCCCCGCGCTATCTCCATAATTTGAAGTTTCGTTTCAAGGTCAGGAAACGTTTGCTATCTCAGTCATTTACATCTTTTACATTTTCCTGAGTCTCTTAATTTGTCCAAACAATGTGCATGAGTGTGGGGGAAAGCCCATGCTTAAACAAACCACCTTCAACTTGTTTACCGTGTATGGTTAAAAGTGCATGAGTGTTGGGAAAGGCGGCCCACAAAGCCGCCCCATGCTTAAACAAACCACCTTCAACTTGTTTACCATGTACGCTTAAATGT